TCTAAGTTTTTGGCCACAAGTCAAGGTGACAGCTTTTCATCACCCTGAGAAAGGAGATCTGTCTTGGGCCTTCTAGCGCCTTCTGTGCGACTGGCCCTGTCCCACATCGCTTCCTTATTCTGCTTTTGGAATGAGGCTTGTGGTCTTCTGAGTCAGAACCCTTGCGTTGCTTCTGCCACCCACAACTTCACACTCTCAGGACAGACAGTCCTTCTCTTCCCTCCCCAACTGGCTCCCAATAATTTAATGATTAGGTTTCAGTCGCTGGCTGAGTGTCCCCTCTATCTGATAGGGTGCTCTTGGTGTTGAGCCCTGAGGTCTGGCAGCCTCCTCTTCTTTAGCTCTTCCTGGCCCAGTCTGCTGACTGATAGAGCCCTTGCCTTTCCCCTGTGGGTGCTGGCCCAGCCCACGAGGGAGTTCCTCCCTGCCAGTCCTCTTTCCTTAGCTTTGGCTGGGATCAAGCTGGCTGGCCCACAGAAGGAGATATGAAGTTAACTTTTTCAGTAAATCTTCCCTCTGGACTCTTCAAGATAGAACAATCATTTGTTCCCATAGATAAGCCGTGAATCCAAATACTTAAAAAATTGAAACCAGATTAATAAAGCAGCAGCTGCCAGTATCTCAGAATTCTAGGTGGAGCTTCGCCCCTGGAAGGTCTTAAGGCTTTGGGAAAATAGGAACGCCTAAGCTGGGAACTCGTACCAAATAAAATATTAGTTTAGCCCGTGGAATATGTGTGTGCTCTTGTTTAGTTTCAGGTCAATAATTTTAATTACTGTCTTTCAGCTAACAGTTCAAGTATTAGAGGGAGAAAACTAGATACTGTCTTCTTGGCACACACAAAACTTTCACAGCTTTAAATTAAGAGAAGCAGTGACACTGAACAGAGAACATACCACTCTGCAACCACAGACGCTCTAAGATAGACTTTGCAGCCTGATATTAATTAAGTCCAATTATTGCTGAGCACATAATGACTGAATAAATTATCTTCTGTCTCTATTGTCTGGACTCAGGGCTGTGTAGTAGACATTTTTCTCATCTGTGCTAAGAACACTCACAAGTTGTTTCGGGTGGAGATAACTCAGAATAATACAGACCTCGGAGCCCTGGCTCCCTCTTCCACGAGGGTATGTCTCCCAGCCTTGTACCCTGGGCTGTCAGACATCACGGCAGGTGCAATGGTGATTTCACCAGTTGAAGGGACAGAGGATGACCTGTCAGAGAATGGCTGTTTGGCAAGCCTCTGATTTCAATGTAGGGAGACGTGGAACAGTACAGGAGGCAGAATCAAGAACTGGTCAAGACACCCATGTCCTGACCGGGGAGCCCACAACTGTGGTTTGCAGAGGCATATGGGAAAGGGGGGACTTTAGAATAAAGACAATACCCTGGATTATGTGGGTAGTCCATGTGTCCCTCAGTTGAAGATATGGGGAGACTGGGAAAAGAATCAGAGTGGAGTGAGTAGTCAAAGACACTACTTCAACGTGACTAAGGTGGAAGAAAGTCCAAGGGGCAGGGGTGGGAGACTCTCAGGCAGAAAAAAATGCAGGTTAATGGCTTCCCACAGGGGTCCAAAAAGGGAAATCAGTTCTGCTGACATCTTATTTCAATTCCAATTCTTTTCCATCTCCTTGAAGCCTGAGAGTTTGGGTCTTGACTGTGGGTGCCTGACTTTTGCATTTTGAAATCATTAGAAGCATTACTGGACAAACATTGTAGCATTAACAAGAACCATAACAAAAGCAACCACGGTCTGTTTTACTGAAATCATTTCTCCATGCTATGTCCTAGAATGTCACTGTACTGTGCATACACACAGCATGGCAGATTATAGTAGAATTGTATAATTTTGTAGTTCTAATTCATATTGTAAATATTTCTCCCGCTGTAGTGTTTTTCACCATTCTAAGTGCTGCTTGACATTTCACCAGACTGGTTTCTAATAATTAAAAATATTGTTTCTTTTTGCTGGGCATCCATTTTGTTTCGATGCTTCGTGGTAAGTATCGCTACAGCAAACATCTGTGATGGAATGGTGAGTGTTGTCAACTTGAGAGACTCCAGGATCACCTGGGATCTAGACCGAGGGGTGTGCCTGTGCGGATTATCTTCATTAGATGCTCTCCACTGTGGCTGGACTGTATGTGTGGGAAGTGGGGAAGCAGCAGTAAGCACTCGCTATTCTCTGCTCCTCGTTATGAATGGAACGCTGTGTGGCCAGCTGCTTCGGGCTCTGCTGTCTTGACTTCTTGCCATGCTGGACTATATCCTTTTTCCCTAAAATTGATTGTCAGAGTTATATTACCACAGCAACAGGAAAGTAAGTTAATATCTGGATGCATACAACTTTCCTACCCTTAGAAGATTTTATTAACATTAAGTCACATGGATCTAGGACATAAATACCTTTGTTTCTACAGTGATCAACAAATTGCTTCCTCAAGCTATTATGTCAAAGGCTGGGGATGTAGCTTACTGTGAAGAGCACTTGCTTAGCGTGCAGGAGGCTCGCCGTTTGATTTCCACATGCACACATCAAGACACTGGCACTTTACCAAGCCACTAACAACGTACAGGCTCACGCATCCAGTCTTGCTTGTGTTGGTGGGTCACTGTCGTAACTGTTGTCTTCCTGTGAGCTGGCGATGGCTTAGGACGAGCAACGAGGGAAGAGATGCCTACCTCTCGCCTTTATGTTTATTCTGATGCGTGAACATTTCATTTGAATCCCGGAATCTCAAAGGATTACTAAGAAAAAAGCGAAAATCCATCCAAGTCAACTATTACCATTAGGAATCATGGTACAAAGAGGTTATGGGCAATTCAACCAGTTTAACACATTCACTGTGGAGAAAATCAACCAAGAAGAAAACCGAGGAACCCCGCAGGCATGCTGGAGGGCCTCCTCATGGTGACTCCTAGATAGATTCTGGCCACCAGAAAGATCAACTATGTATTAGAGGGGTGGGGTTTCAGCAACCCTGAGCTCCAGGGAGTGGGAGTTGACTCAAGGATTCGGAGACTGATGTCAGTTGACCACATATTTTATCAGCCAGGTCTCCCTGAGGTCACACAAGGAAGCCAGGAGTCACCACTTGCTGTGTGCAACAAAATAACAAACTCTTGATGGAATTACACATGCAAAGAAAGAGGGGACATCGGCTTGCCTTTGAGGCCGACCTGAAGCAGTTAGCCTGCATGGGAATAATACCTTATAGAATGACACAACCTGTAAAACTTCACGACTGTGGATTTATACACTTTCCCTTCTGTCTTGCTTTGACCTTCATCCTAACTCTTTGCAGTGAACATCCTTACCTCCCTTTGCTTCTCACGATGATGCTTCGTCCCTCTCATGGCCTGTGTGTTCTCTCACGCAGACTGGCTGCTGCCACTTTCCCAACGATCAGCAGAACTGGCAGACTCCAAAGTTCACGGTGCATGGTTACCTAGGGCATGGTTTAAACAAGTCATTCCGGGTGGGATTCTGGCCTGGTCTGCGTGCGGAGGGCTCTGGTAAAGACCACTATGGCTGGTATTACTGTTGGCATTGGGCAGGAAGGTCCCGAGACTACATGAAATCATTATTTTCCATGGGAAGGAAATGGAACATTGATTTACAGTCTTCTGGGTTCCATTAAATCCTTGTTTCCCCAGCAGCACTACGCATTGGCCAGTGCCCTCAACCGTCTTCCTGGTCTCTCCTGATTTCTTGTCTCCTAATTGGTCAATATAAACCAGCTCCTAAATTTCTGCTCCACTGAGAGAAAAGACAATCCTAATTCCATCTTTGCATGCCTGATAGGATATATGGTTGGTAATCCTCCTATTTTACACCAAAAATTTTGGGAGCAGAGAAGGTAAATCAATTTCTCCTAAGAAATTTCAAACACTGAGTAAAGACTAGAATCCAGTCCTACTGACATACTCTTGTATGTTCCCGGTGACCTCAGTCTGGTGGCGGTGATGTCACAGCAGGATCTAGAGTCATGTCACATGGGAACTGTCCTCAGAGGTAAGTCCTAGTCTATTCTGTTTGTTATGAAGATGCTAGAAGCACAAGATCAAGACATTGGGAGAGTCCATGTCCTGGTGCTGAGCTGGCATCTTCTTACTGTGTCCTCATGCGATGGAAGAGCTTCCCTCGAGTCTGTTTTATAACGCACCAATCTATTTAGTGGGTCTCCACAAGCTGATCATTTCTTCCAAACCCCATTTTCTAACATTATTACTTTGGCTTCAAGCTATGGATTTGTGAGGGAAAACAGATTATAGAAGATGGGGAGAGTGATAGGTGACGTCTCTCTCATTCTCATTTGATCCACTCCTTCCGAAGGAGCTTGGACTGCTGGATCATCCAGCACAGCATGACATCAAAACCTGCTTTCCCACTGGGCTTTACACCTTCACTCTGTTCATGGGCTGAGTAGCAGAACTGTAGAGCCATATCTATACCATAGTATACGTTTGGCAACAAAAAGGAATTGTGTACTGACACACATGACATGAATAATCATACGAGCATTAATTATACAGGGAACAAGGCCAATGCCACAAAGTCACATACTGTATGATTCAATTGCTTATCTCGGAAATGACAAGATTTTGGACGTGGAGTTGAGGCTTACTGAGTTGGAAACAGCAGCTGACGTGAGCAACCAATCGTAACACAGAAAATTACAGTGAGCTGAACAGTACCTTCAAGCTCACTGGGACTCAGTATCTGTTAGGTGACCGAGCAGCATGACATGTGGTGACACACGACTACAGCTCAACACTGGGGGTGATGACAGGAGGAGGTCTGCAAGCTCCAGGCCAGTCTGAGAGACCCCGTGTCAGCACACTGAAGAGTGACTGACCTGATGAGGGCATGTCCAGCCATTTCACAGTATAATACAATATGGTCATCAAGAGAGTTCACCCAGAAGAACTATGCAATTGAGTTACAACCCCACTGGGATTGGGGGAAAATGTACATACACACAATCTCATAATACTTTTAAATATGTTTATAATTTTATATGAGCTACATTCATAGGTATCCTTGAACAAGTTTGACACAAAAGCCATGGGTTTTGACAGAACTCTACCCCATACCCCAATAGCTGACTTTCCTTAGGGAACCTCAGGGGAATCAGTAGAGGCTGAGTAGTAGCCAGTCACAAGGCAGGTAGTGTTAGTGTACAATACCTGTCTTCCTTAATTGTTCTGAGAAGCATCTCAAGGGACATAATAAATGCAATCTTAATGATGCATGATTATCTTTCCTATCTAGACACAACACACTGATAAAGATCTCAGCATCTAAGCCAGAAGAGTTAGGGAGCTGTTTGATTGTTTAGGACTAGAGCAATTTAAATCAACTTCCATTCTACAATTGGGAACAAAGTATCTCAAAGACAAAGTCTCTGTGACCTTTTCATCATGATCATTACTAGTACTGTATCAAGAATCCAACTGGTGCTGGCCAAGACTTCTCTGAGATACAGCATGAGTCATGAATAAGTTACATAAAAAGTGTTTTACAGATAACAGCTGGAGATGCAGTTCAACGGCACAGGGCTTGCTCAACAAGCTTTGGACTTAATCTCCAGCAGTGGACACAAGCACACGCTCTGAAGATAAAGCCCACAGCACACAAAGTGAGATGGGACATCAAGCCTTAAGTTGTATGCTGGTTCCTTCTCTCCAGAGTTGTTCTTCTTGAGTGTTGGGGACAGGAGCCTTAGATGTCTCAGTCTCATTGTAGCAGTTGGTAGTTGTTAAAGTCACAGACCTTGTGTTGGGTGATGGAATCTGGAGAAAGAAAAACAGCTTGACAGTTAAGATGGCTAGTCGCAACACAGGGAATACCTCCCATCCTCACCCCCACCCCCACCCAGCTCTCCCTTGTCTGTGTAGCCCTGGCTGTCCTCGAACTCACTCTGTAGACCAGGCTGACCTTGAACTGCCTGCCTCTGCCTCCCAAGCGCTGGGATAAAGGCGTGCCCCACCGCCCGGCTGTGATTCTCTTTGTATGCTTTATAAGACAACAGTTGAACGACTTAGATGTTCCAGAGCTCTCCATAGGGTCACTCGTCCTTACAGTGCTCTCGATTTTAAAAGTAAAATGAAATAAAGGAAAGCAAAGGAATACCAGTCACAGTGGCCCCGGATTAACCCATTCGACAGCCCTATGTCTTATTAGGTTGTATCACAATGAGGACATTCTCATCAGGACAGACATTCTGTTGGATGGAGCTGGGACAGCTGTCATCAAAGATACCCAAGGCTAATCTTAGTGAGCTACTTCAAATACCCATTGTTAGAAGGCAGATTATACATTTTCAATTTTAATAAACGATGATATTAACTATGATGTGCCAGGCTGTTGACCCAGTTAGGGATTCCATGATGAATACAAAGTTGGGCACAGTTCCTAAAATCCAGTTTGGGACCCAATGGACAAGGCTGGACCGGGGGAACCCTAGGGTCTTCTGGTTTGAAGCTTCATTGCTTTATGAAAATATCTGGTCACAGAGAGAGCTGGGCAGCTCATCAGTGAAGTGTGCTATAGTTGGCCACAATCCCTCCGCCATGTCTGGGATGTGTAATGGTCCACAGACTTGTGTTGAAAGCTCAGTCCCCAGCTGGCACTGCTACTTTGGAAAGTGCTAGAAACTTTATCGGGTAAAGCCTAGCATAAGAAGTGGGTGGCTGAGGTGAGTCCTTGGTGTGAGTCCTGCCCTGGCTCCTTCTTCTCTCTCTCTATGCTTCCCAGCTACTATAAGCTGCTTTGCTCTGTTGTATACACCCCCCAATCATGAGGTTCTGTTTGCCCATGGCCCCAAGACAGTAGAAGTAACCAACCATGCATCCTGCCACGACATATCCTTCCTCTTGTGTCATTTTTCTCAAGAATTTTGTCACAGGAACAAAAACTGTGACTAACAAACTATCATTTGTCAATACTAAGATGCTTACTACACACAACTTCTTACCACAAAAACAAAAAACGGACACAGCTGATTGTTGGTGCTCACTGGCTGACAAGCTTAATTACAATGATTACAGGCCATCCCCCATTGGGCAACTATACAATTAGTTAGACAATAATATCTGAAGGGCCTTGAAGAGTGAAACCTATTGGAAGATGGGCAGCTATGGTGGCTGTGTGGAACAAGGGAGAAAGATGGGTTCATTCTAGAAATAAAAAAAATAAATGATCAGTAGAAGAAATAAAATGTTCATCTTAGCTTTGGCTTAAGGAATTGTCTGTAATTTAACTGTTGCTTCCTGTACAGATATGCTTCCATGTAAGAGTGTGATCTGGAGAGCGAGTCCCTGGGGGACGTCAGGCGAGGGGAACACACTAACTAGAATTTGGTGTACATATATGCGCTCATGAACACACATGTGTATACACACAGCATTGTATATAGTCAAGACAACTCTTGTCAGGATGGGCACACCACTTAGCTGTCTCTACCATGCTGAAGAAGGCCTCTTGCTTCATACCTTCCCTGCAATGCATGCTGCAGGATGCTCTGTCCTTTGCCTTTTGTCTTGTACGAGCTTTTGCCAAGAAAAAGCTATTGCCTTCTTTATGTGTTCACACAGTACTGACGTTTTGTTTCTTTGTACCTGGGTTTTGATGCACAGATGACAATGTGCTGCTCTCTGTAGCTGGTCTATAAAGTAATTCAGCCGTATTTCCACCTAGGTTGTAAGAGCTCTTTGGACCTCAGTTTTGCACATGGATTTCTGACTGGATCATTTTATAGGGTCAGGAAACAAAACGAACAATGTACTGAAAGAAAGCCTTTTTCTACTTAATCTGATAATTCGATATAATCCCCAAATTCCAAGTTTTATAAAAGAAGAACATTAACACAGTGACTCTATCACGGGAAGCAGGTGATAAAAATGACTGAGTTGTTGTAATTACAGCACTGAGGTCTGATGAGGTTTGCACAGAACAAATACGACACTGCAGGGGGATGGGAAATGAGCTCGTATGCAGGAAGTGAGTGAAAGGTGGCATTGCATATCAGTGGAACCCACAAGGCAGACAAATGACACTCTTTCCCCAGTCTTGTCACACAGTGAGTAAACTGCAGAGTACAGCCCCAGGCAATAAGAAAAAGTAGCTACCATTATTAGCCCTATTATTATTCAGCTTTTAGAGGTAGGCTTCCAAGTAGCCTAGGGTGTACATAACTACTGATTCTGCTTCCTCCTCTTGACCGCTACGATTCCAACTGCACCGATAAGAATTTCAAGCAGGAAAGATGCCGGAGATGTCCTTGAAATTGAGACAGAAGCCTTCCCTCTCCCCCTGTCTCTTTCCTGACCTCCTTAGTTATTTCATTCTTAAAATAAAAACAAAAACTCTAATCCTCGGCCTACCATGTCCTTTAATAGACTTGGCATGAACCTAGGGCAAGCCACCGTTTTTCTAACCGCACTTCTGTGTGGTCTCATGGATGTTGTATGGGACCAACATGCTGCCAACATTAATGTTTTATGGTGAGGAGGACAAATCCCTATATTTAACTAAAACTTGGCAGCTAATGGCAGATGACCCTGTGCCAAGTCAAGAGCACTGCAGACTTAGGCCTTTTCTTTGCTCATCAAAAGGCCCGGAAGAAAGTTCAGCGGCCACATTCACAGACTCATTCGGTTAGGCATCTCCGATATTTCACTGTGGGCTGAGTATCACCTAGCTTCTGGGGGATATTTACAGCAAGAGCTTTACCCCTCAATAACAGGGGCTCAGGTTATGAATGTCCCTGTCTTCGGGTGATGAAACACCATGACTGAAGCACCATGGGAAGGAAAGGGTTTATTTGCCTTACATTTCCACATCACTGTTCATTAACAAATGAAGTCAGGATAGGAACTCAAACATGGCCGGAACCTAGAAGCAGGAGCAGATGAAGCAGCCATAGAGGGGTGCTGCTTATTAGCTTGCTTTCCATGGCTTGCTCAGCTGCTTTCTTCTAATGCCCAAACCACCAACCCAGGTTGGCACTGCCCACGATGGCCTGTGCTTTCCCCTATCAATCACTAATTAAGAAAATGCCCAATAGCCTTGCCTACAGCCCATCTTATGAAGGCATTTTGTGAATTTGGGGTTTCTTCGTCTTAGATGACTCTAGCTTGTGTCAGGCTGACATTAAAAGCTAGCCAGCACAATCCCAAAGCACTCTGCAGTGATGACCCCAGCACTGCTCCCTGTATAACTTTTACAGGTTGACCTCAGTTCTATCTGGAGCTGATGGAGCAGTTCTCTCCTGCTGTCTGTGGTCATCCCACAGGCTTCTCTTCCACAGGGTGAGCCAAACTGCTCTTTCAGTACCTCTCCCCTGGTCTTGCTTGGTAAGACTCTATTCATGGTTGTCTTGGACACTCAGAACTCAAGTCCAGGGGTAACTACCATTCTTCATTTTTTCCTGTATCCAGCAGCAAGAGCTACTGAAATGTCAATTAAAATCTGACATTGCTATAATCCCACTGGTATCAAGCTAGCATCCCTAAACTCCCTTGGTGGTCAGCTAAGAACTCAGGGGACACTTAACATGTACATTACAGCCTCTCTACCCTACAAAGCTCTTCCCTACTTGCATTTCACATACTTCTAGGCAGCAGCTTTCCTGGGCCTCACTCCCCCCCCCACCCCCCCCTTTAGTCCTCTCTCTTCTTCCTTTAGGCCATCCTAGGCTGACTGCTTCTCCTGACTGAAGCCTTACTCTACCAGGCCAGGGCACAGGTCTGTCCAGCTCCGTTTTCTTAGTCTGTGGTTCCAAAGCCACTCTCAACAAGGACCTCCTGCACTCCATCTTCGTCATATCTATTGTGACTGTTGCTTAAGCCTGCCTTCAGTCTTCTTTCTTAAGAGTGCAATTCTCACATGGGCAAGGACTGTCTCTCTTGTTAAGAATTACCCACGTAGTACCTAAGAATATGCAATATGTTTTAGCACATGAGCAGTACAAAATAAGTTATTTTACTATACGATAAGTTAGACTCAATGTCTTGTATACGTATGCGTGTGGGTTAGCTAACACTGACAGGTTGATAAACATCTAGGAGACAACCTCTTGACATATCTGTGAGGAAGTTTGTAGTGTGGGTTAACTGAAGTAGGAAGATCCACTCTAAGTGTGAAAGGCACCATTCCATGGGCTCAAGGCCTGGACTGAATAGAAAGAACATGAGCTGAGAAACAGACTGCACTCCTCTCTTCCTGACTGGATGGAATGTGTGCCACTGCCTCTTGGTTCTGCCTTTGTGACTTCCCAATATGACAGGGTGTATTCTAAACTGTGAGCCAGAATAATCAATCCTTCCTTCCTTCCTTCCTTCCTTCCTTCCTTCCTTCCTTCCTTCCTTCCTCCCTCCCTCCCTCCTCCCTCCCTCCCTCCCTCCCTCAACAACTCTTTGTTGTCCCAGACATGGAAATAAAGTGGCATAGCACAAGGCCATTCCAGTGCCACCTACTATCTTCTCTTTGGTAACCACTGGCTCTGCTATCGATCTCCGAGGTGGATTCTGTGATGTCCGACTCAGTGGACTTGGTTGTGGTAGTCTTTTGTTCCCACTGGATGTGTCCATATAGACAATGACACCATGGAAGGATGGTTTCTCTCAGCCTATAAGGCATCACCTGGCCACCCCCATTCTGTTTCCTTGACTAGCTGCTCTAGAACACGGTTCAAAAGGGCAGCAGCACTGCTGTGCTACTTGTACGCTACTGAGGTTTTCACTATTAAATAATTTACCATAGCTACTTCTTAGCATGTAACATGGACAGG